ATATATTATAATATTCGGTCGTGTTTATACGTTAATTTCCAGTTATATTTGTTATGCGCTTGTTGAGGATAAAATGAACTAAAAACAAATGCAATTAAAAAAATGATATTATTATAATTAGTATAAATTATATTATTATAAATTAGAAATGATACTAGTTTGAAAAAAAATATATTAGTATAAATATTACTATTATGTCAAAAGTTAGAAATTTTATAGTAGAAGTTAGAAATTGTTATGGTATAAATTTTAAATGACTGTATTATAAATTTTAATTTATTACTATTTTGTTAGAGGTTAGAAATTATTGTATTATAGATTAGAATTGATTGTCTTATAAATTATGATTTAGTACAATTTTGTTAGAGGTTATAAATTATTGTATTATAGATTAGAATTGATTATGTTATATATTAGAATTTATTACTATTATGTTAGAAGTTAGAATTTATTACTATTAATAATAATGTGATATTCATCTTGACATACATAGTGAAAGTGTGTTAAAACATGGATCATTTAAAGTAGTTATAAAAGGCTAGAGGTTTGAGACAATCCCACATTGATTACAAACACAATAATAAAGGCCAAGAGTGTATAATGGTAAATTTGACGAAAAAAAGTAACACCGTTAGTAGTAAAGTAACGGTGTTAACATCAAAGGGAGAGTGTGCAAGCAGATATACAATAGAAGGGGGTTTGACGCAATTTTTAAATTACGAGGGGAAAACGCGCAGATTTAGTATATTACAGGGGGGTTTGGTGCAATTTACCCAAAAAGAAAGAGGTAAGAGCTTGTTTGGACGGGGAAAGGTAAGTGTCATGCATACCATTTTTTCAACAAATATTCAACCATTTTTAATTAGTTATGGGACCGGTTCAATTCATAATGTATTTTTCGAGGCTGGAATTGAACCGAAAAAACCATTCGGTTATTACACATATATTCATAAGAACCGGAAAAGAACCGAATTGTATTATAACGGTTCGGTTTTTCCGATTCTTTTGGTAATCGATTTATGAAAAAACTAGAAATAACTGGTTTTGAGTTAAGAACCGACCAAAACAATGGAACTCATATGCTAAATGTATCATGAAAAACCGAGAACCAAAATGAAAATGAAGAACCAAATATTATTTACTAAGAACCGGAACCGATTTATATATATAAACATTTAAAACATGTATATTTCATAAATATAGTCAATTTTTCGGTTAATATACAAACATATCGAAAGGAACCGAGAACCAAAACTGGTTTGTGCAAAATATAACCGAAACCAGAAAAAAAAATATGTTTTACAAATAACCGAACTGAAACGATAAAATCCCACCCCTATTTTTAATCCATTAATTTTTTTTATCTCAAATTTAATTTGTTTTTAATTCAGCTCACCATCCTCAATTTTATTAATATAACTAAATAATATAACTGAATCATTCTTCCACATTACATTAACTTTAAATCATATATTTTCTATTTTTACATCAAATCAGTTTTTATTATTTTATTTTAAATATTTTTTTGTATTAATTTCAAAATCAGAACTACCCATACCAAGTTTATTAAAATTAAACAAACAGAACCAAAAATTCAAATAAAATCAAAACATGTTATAAAAGCAGCTTCCCTCTGGTTTCCACAAACGCGTGAGTGAATGTGGTCGGCTATCGGAAGTGGATAGTAATTAAAAAGGTCTCATTCTCATTGAAAACGTTTTTGCTTTGTTGAAGGGCTCACGGTGTTTTTTA